AAGAAAAGCCTAATTTTCACACACTTACTTGCACAATATTATGTTATGACCTCAAAACAAATTTAACATGCTGCAAAATTTTAAAACTGATACTTCTGAACGTTAGCGTCACGTACACAGCTTCATATGGATGGGGTTTTTAACACAGGTTTGCTGGGTAACTCATGTGATACGGTGTTTCACTTGTGAGGTGAAGCGCTCTGGTACGAATCCTGTGAAATTACAGTTCATCTGAATTCTGAACCGCCACAATATGTGCCTATAAACCAAAGTAATAAAAACACCACAATACGTGCCTGTACCAGGGTAATCAAAACATGGCCACGGTCACGTATTGAACGTGCTTTTTAGCACCAATCACTGGACATTTCACTTTGAAACTGCCATGAAACATGCAATAAGGCACATAAAATCGGTGTTGCAGAAACATTGCCACATTTTCAATGAGCCTGGGTTGAAAGGGGTGAATGCACTGTGTTGATAACTCCAGACAGCAAATTTGATTCTGTAAATTAGCATCTTTCCTACAGGTCAGTGTAATCGAAGATCACCATCTCTGCTGATGTAAGGATACTTCCACTCCACTAAGTTAATGCACGCTCTGCGCACAGGGTTATTGAGAGTCAGGCAGAAAAGTGCTCTTGGAGGTCTGCTATTAGTGGTGCTTCCCTGTTTCTTGCTTTTGGCATATTGCCGGCGTTTCCTCTGGGCGAGCGAGCCGGCCGGAGCAGTGCTTGCAGCCGCAGAGACGTTCATGGTTTTGGGGGTGCCCTGAGACTGTCTGGCTGCATTAATCGCGGCCTGCCAGGAGAGCGCGGCGGACTGGGCCGGCGAATGATGGCTGGTGATTGACGGCGTTTCTGACCAGACGGGAGGGGCATCACTAGAGACGGGGGCTCTGCTGCCACCGTCATAGTTTGCCCCTGAAAAACAGACAGGAGAGAGAGAAAAGAAAAGAATGAATCGTCTTTAAGAATACAAGCAATTCAGGAGAATAAATAGATGGACTGTATATTCATATATATTATTGGTATTATTTGTGTATATTATAGTGCAACCCCAATCACAGACACCACTAGTCTGTTTTCACTTGTTGCATGAATGGCTGGAGGAGTTCAGCACTGAGTGCACAATCAAAACACGCTGAAGAAACATCACTTTCAGGTTTTTGGCAAATCGAAAATAGTTATTTTACTCCAAAACTGAGTTTTTCCAAATGAAGAAAATATTCCTGGGTTTATCCATGGCTGCAATGGTTTTGTATGTTGGTTTTAAACACCTAGTTTACTTCTGTCCTGTATTAGAATATTTGTGTGTGTGTGTGTGTGTGTGTGTGTGTGTGTGTGTGTGTGTAATCTGCCCTCCAAACCGAAATTGTAATATACTGATATACTGAATGTTTTCATCATTATTTAATTCTATTCTTGCACACTGAATGGCATATAAGCACAACTAGTAGTATTTTAGGGAGAGGAAGTGAAACATCGTACCGTCAAATATCAACATCAATGTGATTAACATTTCATTATTTTACAATCCAGAGTACTAAAATCTTTTTTTTTATCAAAAATTGTTCACTTTCACTAATACACCATCCACATTAACACGAACAAACAGACCTCTTTAAACAGGCTTCTTTAATGTCAATCTAAAGAAATTACTAGAAAAGCTGTAAACACCGAATTCTTTAACTATAACCCGAGGACTGAAGATGATCCAAACAAGTGTGTCAACAAACATTTACAGCATAAAACAAAATTAAATTTCTGCTTTCTGTTTGCTTGGTTGTCTTCACACTGGACTCATGAGCAAGAATTGAGAGCTGTTCTGTTCACACAGGTGTCCTGTGTAGCTCATCACCTTAACTATATGAACAAGTACCACTAACCACAAACAAAACACAAAGTCATACAATACCGACTGTCTTCGCTGCATGTGAACAGAGCTGTTTTGACAAAGTAAAAATGGTGTTGTTTTACAAGACCATGAGGAATTTTAACCAAAGTATGTTACAGACATTTAATGAAGACCCTAAGGAATCATACCAACTTGTAGAAAATGGACATCCAAAGTCCCCTTTAACAAAGTTCTTTCTTTGACAAATGGTAGGCTTGTAAAGAGTCTTTCTTTACAATAAATTACACTCCAAATACTTTTTGAGGCCACTACTTAATAAGAATTGATTGTGTAAAGCAGCTTGTAATACTCTTCGATCAAACAATGTGTCAGATGGACACTGTGCAATGGGGTAATACTTCACAACAAGGTTTGAATCTTTAACATTAGTTGTTAGTGCATTTGGTAGGCTATCTGATGATTTTTCAAATATTTATACACACACACACACATACACACACACAGACAAACACACACACACACACACACACACACACACACACACAGACAAACACACACACACACACAGACAAACACATACAAACATATATATATATATATGACATCTACTCGAATCTTTCACCATGATACTCGGATATAAAGACTAGTATGATGTGCACTGAAGCATTCTACACAACTTTAACACGGACATGCACACTTCACTTTTAAATACAGTGTCACCAGTTCCTTTCAGTTACGCCCTTTTAATATTAAACGAAAAGAAACTCGTCCATAAGTCACATCTAGGTTTGTGTTTACCTTCAGTCGGTTCCTCTGGCTCGTCCATCCCCTCCTCCACATTGAAAATCTGTTTTTATTATTTGTTCTATTCCAGTTCGTGTGGCTGTATTAAACCATTTTATCTATCATGTTTTGACTAGTGTGTATGATGATGCTGGTGCTGATGCTGATGCCTTGAGCTCCACGAGCACATCTTCGCGACATCCGGGTGTCGAGGACGCGTCTCACTCCGCGATGAAGATTAAATCCACTGAGCGCCATTAGAAGGGATCACATCTAATGATGCCTCACTGCCATCCTCAAAGATCCCAGACAGTCTAGCAAGAATGTTATTCTAATCGACACAGCGGACCAAATTAGAGAAACCCGAGCACAGTTTTTATTTTATCCCCACCCCCGCGCACTCGCTGCAGTTGTGCGTCTGTTTTAAATTAAGGCCGTGTTCGGGGAATATTCAATTACCTTTGCAGGACATCTAACAGGCTTTTCAACAGGTCACCTAGCCTATCCCAGGCTTTTGACACTGAGTAATGTTGCTGATCTATATTTAGTTCAGACCTTTGGCTTCATAAAGTCAAGGTGATGTCTATTTTAATTTTCAGATGAAAGTAAACTAAATTTAAATTTACCTCGTATTCCCAGTATGAACGCCATTCATCTCTCTCACTAAAGCAGCTCATTCGCTGAGTGCATGCTGTTTTCTGCTCGTTATTGCTATAGGTTGAAAGCACAGGGGAAGGTAAGGGAGTATGGGGTTGGATCACCTGTCTATAGCAGATAATCCCCATAATAATCCTCTGACTCAAACCTCCTGTGCTACTGAACTATTCTAGAGCGGACGCGTATAAAGCTCACTCTTATAGTTCATTAAAAGTTATCTATCTGATTGTGATTTATTCACACACACACACACACACACACACACTCTCTCTCACACACACACACACACACACACAATAAATCGGCTGCAGTACACGTCTTTATCCTTTAGAGGGAGCTCAGGAGAATAAAGGAAACACAGTTTCGTCATGATCTGATATTGAAGTAAGGACATCTGAGAAATTTGCATAGCACAATGCCCCTCCCTCCTGGGGGCTATATTGAGCAAAATAAAGTGAGGACCACGATTTTGTCCTCACTTTACCAAGAGGTCCTCACTTAAAAGGTGTTTTGTCACATTTTGGTCCTCACTAATATAGCAATACAAACACAGACACACACAGACACACACACACACACACACACACACACACACACACACACACACACACACACACACACACACACACACACACACACACACACACACACACACACACACACACACACACACACACACACACACACACACACACACACACACACACTCACAATGTGCGTCTGTATGTATCAGCGGCCTCTTGCGGTTGCTTAATAACATCACATTTTACATCGCACTTTCTGAATACTAGATGAATCCCTATCATTTATGAGTCTGGGCCGTTGAGCTCAAAGTCCATTGAAACAGCTCAGTAAATAGTTGGTTCTTAAATTCAAGAAAGTCCAATACTCTAATAACCACACATGTGGGTGAAAGTGGAGCAAGGTTTTTAAACTGCTCCAGAGACGACAATTTCAAGCATTATACTTTTTGGAATTACATAATATACGTTCTAGTGCACAATTATTTACATTAAAACAAAAAAAGATCCTGGATTACACTTTTAAACTGCTTTAAATATTTGTTTAAACCAAATCAGTACATGACACTTCCCTGACAACAAAACCCTCCAAAGGGTTTCCGCGAATTTTCAAAAGGGCAAATAATAATAATAATAATCAGAAAGACTATCAAATTTACAGGCATACATTACACAAAGTATATAAATGTACATTTATTTTAGCGATATTATAATTAGACTGGCTCTATGTATACATACTGGGCCTGAGTGAGAACGGTTGCTCAACGGAACCATGAGCGAAACCTGGCCGAAGCACGGACATAGGAAACGGCAACCGGAAGTGTCCGTCCTGAAATGTGTTCCGTGTAGGCGCAGTGTAAAGCTCATAGACTGTATGGTAAAGATGGAGTGTGTGAATAAAACAGGACATCTCATGAGTCTGGCAGCTCTACAGCTGCATGACCCCTACATAGTGAACCTGCTGGACGTCGCCGGTCAGGTCGCGCTCTATACTTTCAACTCCAAAGCAAACGAATGGGTGAGATTTGAAAATGCGTCGCCATATCAGCGCGCGCACGTCAGTTAGCCTGCGGTTGCTAATAGCAACGCCGCCATCTGCGTTTCTCCTTTCTGGTGTTTGCTGTATTTGTACGTTTATTACCCGTTATATCAGTTCACCAGGAGCATACAGGGAGTTCTGGCAGCGTGTAAGTTTGCTGGAACATCAGTGTCTTATATTAGCAGTCAAGATAAACACACCTAGGAGCTGATGTATGATTAAAGGCGAGCTCGTCATCTGATGATAAACTAATCCGAAAGTAAAATCAGTATGACTTTCTGTCAGTCTTCTGCAGATGAAATCGATATCAGCTTTTATCTGACGGTAAAATCAATACAAACTCAAAGCCACGCTTCAGTCAACGATTGTATTTCTTTTGGTAAGTCATTGTATTAGTATTGAATATGAAATCTGTTTGAAAACTAACACATCTCTCTCACTTTAGGAAAAGACTGAGATTGAAGGCACATTATTTGTTTATGCCAGGTGAGCGATGACTGACTGGACCTGTGAAGGCCCACAATAGTCGCTATATTATTAATAACACACTGATCTGTCATGTAGTGGTGTGTGTAATGTAAGGATGACTGGTTTCCTGCAGGTCGGCTTCTCCCCATCATGGCTTCACAATTATGAACCGTTTGAGTACAGAAAACTTAGTGGAGCCGATCAATAAAGACCTGGAGTTCCAGCTCCAGGACCCTTTCCTACTGTACAGGAATGGCAACTGTAAGTGTTCATCTGTTATCCATCCGTTGCAGTGAGAGGAGCCCTGTTTGACTCTTGCATCGTTTGTCATCATTGACTCTTCAGCGTTTCCCTTATAAAGTGTGCTGTATCATATTCCATACGCATATTTCTAAGGCCTCCAGATGATCAAAACTTTGCTGAAAGACCTGTTCTGATTGATAGTTTATAATTTTTAGCATGTAAAAAGCCTTTTAGTATAATTGTAAAAACGTCCACCTTCAGCTTGTGCTTCTTTATGCCGTCAGATTTTTACTGATTTTAATCGCGTAAATATAAGAATAGCTTTTACATCAGTAGCATTTCAAGATGAACACTTACTGGACTGAAGCAACTTAGATTTATGCATTTTTTAGACAAATCATGTTAAGATGTGAGGATCAAATCCTCCATCAGGCTTTTGAGGAGCATTTATTTGTTCATCTCTCAGTCATCATTGTATTGCATTGCCTTATATGTTTTCAAACTATAGAGTTTTGATCATAAAACCAAGCATGTAACCAACTAAGCATCTGCATCAAATTGCATATTTATGCTCAGTTTGGGCCTCTGAATAAAAAGTATTATTACATACTATTTGAGTCATAAAAGCCTGATGTGTCAAACATGATACTAAACAAAGAACACGCATTGCAAACATATTTTAGATGTGTTTTATATTTTGTCTGAAGGTTCAATAAACTGTTCTTTTAAAAAATTAAACAATTATTTTATATGTCAAGCTTTATATGGTTGAAGAACTGTTTCTTTACTAAGAGTGAAGCAAATATCAGATCTTCCTATTAATGAAACAAGACTTCTGAATATTATAACGAACACCTTCATGTCACTGTCAGTCTTGTTGGATGTGAAGTGATGAATATATAGTGCATGCAACTTTATCTGTATAGGGTACATGCACATAAAGTGATATATATATATATATATATTATGTAGCCAATTTCAGCTGCTTGATTGTGTATATCTTTGCAAAAGGTATTGAGATATTATAAACATTAACATTATGATTTTCAGTAAAGCTGCTTTGAAACAATTTGTGTTGGCTTAGTAAAACAGGTAATGTTCTCCAGTGTGGTCACACATTTTAGCTTGTTTATTCGACTGATATTTTACTGCAAGTCTGTAACTCGCTGTTTGTTGAGCTCTTCGCTGTAAGTATACACATGTTCACAGCACAGCCCCTCTGTACCTGTGTGTTATCTTCTGTGCTTTATTTGATTGCGTGTGTCTCTCAGTGGGCATCTACAGTATCTGGTTCTACGATAAGGCCGACTGCCAGCGGATTGCACGGCTCATGCTACAGTGAGTATCTGTGATTTAACACTCAGCTGCCATCAGTAAAATGTTGGTTGCCTGGTAACTAGTGTGGGCTTGAGCAGTTGTCATGGCGATGTGTTGCCGTGGCAGGCTGGTTGACAGTCATATGCGAATGGGTGGTGAACTCGCCCTAGAGTCTGCTCATTAATATGTCACTGTGTGAATGGAACAGTTGATTTTGAGTGAATAATGAATTTAACTAGAGAAGCCTGAATTGCTGTTAAATCTCTGTAATCCCCAGCTGTTTTTCTGTGTGTGTAGGATAGTCAAACAGGAGGCGTTGCGAGTGTCTCCCGACAGAGGCCTGAGCGGCAGGACCAATGGTTGTGTTCAGAGCAGACCCACAGATATCCTGGAGCTGCTCAGCAAGGCTAAGGAGGAGTATCAAAGGGTATGACCACCCTCACGGCTCATTTCCCTGCTGTTTTTTTGTTGTTCACTTTCACAGCAAAATTGCTGCTCAAATTGAAAGCACCTAGACCTGGTTATCCACGTTGTTAAGATCTATTATTATGTATTTTGTGTGTGTTTCTAGAGTCAGTCAGTGGAGAGAGATGTTCGGGCGAGCTCTGAATCTGCACCGTCACACGAGAAGAGAGAGGACATCCCAGCCGCTCAACACGAGAAGGTGCTGCTAATCACACACATCCAAGAGCACTTCTACTAGATTTGTACAAACATTTTTTGCTCTTCTATTATAGTCAATACTAATCATCTCCGCCCAGTTGCAGCAAAGCCCTTAAGTTAAGAAAACCCGACGTTATCAGGTTAAGGATACCCTCTGTTAAGGATATTACCAAAACAGGTCCCTGCTAAACTTAAGTCAGTGGCTGATTTTGTGTTCATTTACAAAGGACAAAATGCCAAGATGCATTAATATTAAAATATATGGTTTAAACCAATGTGTATTGTCAAAAGCAGCCTAGGGTGAGTTGAGTAACATTGATTCAGGACAAATATATTGTGGAGAGCGATGTGAGTGGTGCTCTGTGGCAGATAGGATTTTGTTCAGTAAAATAAGAAGTCCAAGTTGTAATGGACTGGTTAGTTAGGATGTAATTCATGAAGTATTGTTACACTGTGCCTGGTGTGTATTTGCTGTATTATGTCCGATGAAGCATTCAATATCCAGTATATTTTATTGCACTTTCACATAAGCTTAATTAAAAAGAATGTCAACTTGCATGGTTTGCTCACAGTAATCAGTGCAAAAGACCGCATGAAAGAAAACAGACTGTATGTGTTACACTTTTTTTTTTAAGCTGAGTACCTCACTGGAGCTCTTTAAACTCCCAACTTGCATGTCTGCCAGTGTTTTCAGCTCATCAGTGCTTTTTCAGTAATGTAGAGAGAGAGTGTGCACATGGTTGGCAGATTGGGAAGATTCAGTAGAGCACAGAGCAGAAAATAAACCAATTTATGAAAAAAAAGCAAAAGAAGCTCATCTGGCAACTGCAACTAAGAAAGCTTGTGGAGTTTTGTTAACAATGCAAGATAACACACATTCCAAATTAAAATGAAATGTTTTTAGGGTAAATAACCAGCGGGCAAATATCACAGACGATTATGCTTAATAAGTCAAGAGAAGCAGAAATCGCAATGAAAATATGTGCAGCCATATCAGAACTGAACATTGGACTGACTTGAGCTAAATAATGACACTAGTGTCTTTTAGAGCTGCTTTACAGCTGAGTTTCCATCATTGCTACTGTTATTTTTCTGCAGCTGCTTTGGCACCATCTGTATTGTGTGAATCGCTATAGAAAGGTGACTTGACTGTCCCAATTAGTGTATTGTGAAGGACCCAGGCAATGAAAGAACTGTAAGGATATAATGCTTAATCTTTGAAAATATGAATTTTGTAGCTTTGCTACTGTCAGAAAGGGAGCTTGATTTGCAACACACGTTTTGTGATGTCACTGTGTGTTATTGACTTATGAATAAATTATATTTGACATGCATCGGTTTTTGTTTCCTCTCCACAGTCAGGTCACTCAGTAGTGAAGCAGATCACAGTGGAAGAGCTTTTTGGCAGCTCTCTGCCCAAAGAAGCGCCCCAGTCAACAAGCTCCACTGTGGGAGAAAGCATGCGTGGGCCTGCGTTTGTTCACTCGGTGGAGCCTCTCCTCGCTTCTCGCCTCTCTGCTGACCCAGGAGGCCCGGTGCTGGTCTCTCTCTTTCAGGGTTGTGGCACCCGAGACCCAAGACCGTCTGCTTCAAATACGGAGGACAGCGGGAGCAGTCGTGGTTCGACTGGTCCACTTCCTCCTGCATATACGAATCCCCCCACAGAGGGTCATGGGATGCCTGTGTCACTGCCAGGGTTCATGCCCAGCCCGCTGGTCACCCCACAGAGCTTCAGAGAATCCGCCTGTAAAGTTTCAGGGCCCTTCACAGGAAAGGCTGCATTGTCGGCACAGGTGAATACACCGAACAGCATTTTCATGGTATGTGTTTTTTTTTTTTTATTGTATTTTAATGCAAGTGCAGAAATGATTGATGAAATGGCACACTGTTTCCTGCAGTACAGGAGTGGGACTCTTTATGCACCTCAGAATATGTTCTGATTCGTACTGATGTACCTGTGGTTATGGGCGATCAGTGTGAATGTCACTAACAATGTCAAAACTCTTTTAAAAGAAAAGCCAAAACAATGTAAAAAACAAAAAGATGAATATCTGTAAATAGTAAGAGTGTAACAATACACTCATTATGGGGGTTCTGTACAATACACAGTATTGATCTCACAACTCTGAACTCTCAGGATACAACAGGCAAAATACTGATGGGAAGGGGTTTATTAATATTATTACTTCTAAGGCATGATAAACAGTAAACAAAAAGTACTGTTCGTAAGAATGCTACATTTGCATGCTACACACGCATATGCTCTGTCACTGATTACATAGATGTAAAAAATATTATTTGATTGATTTTTTTAATACATTTAATGGCAGTGCATGCTTATCCAGAAAAATAATGTAGTCCCTATCATTATCATGCATTATATATATTAACTTTATACTTTACACCTGGTATTAACTAGGGATGTGCCGGTATCAATTTTTCATGTTGCGATTAATTGCTAATACACGTGTTGTGTGGTTAGCGCTAAATACAGTTGGAAACAAGGTCTAAACCATTTTGTGATTGCATACCTGCTTTGATTGATTAACGGCTCTGACTCGTTTGAAAGTAATTCAAACCAATTAATTGGAACGATTCATTTGTGAATCAGACTACTATGCGTTTTATTCATTTTGACATACTTTAATGAAAAACACAGAAAACATATAACATTTCAAATGAATCTTGTTTTTGCATAAGATCCCTTCTTCTCTTTGACAGAGTAAAGAGGCGAATGCCTTTACACAGTCCTCGACTCTGGTCAAACCCATTCCAGTAAGTGCACTTTTAAGAAGCATGGTCAGGTTTGATGTATTGTTTGGTGGCAGTATACTGACATGGCCATTATGATTGATGTCTCTCTGTAATGTGAAGGCGGGGCCAGCTGTCCAGGGGGAGGAGTCTTCACTGCTGCTGTCTCCTAGTGTGTTCCAGCATTCAATGACCAAGACAGCCGAGCCACTGAAGAACCCCGCCTCCCCGACGTCTCCCACAGCAGACCTGCCCTCTTCCCTGTACAGTCGCACCCAGCTTAAAGATACGCTCATACATCTCATAAAGGTACAGACTGACACATGCACGCTCACAAACCAACAGTGAAGAAAGACTCGTCCATCAAATCACTTTTGTCTTCAATTTTCTGCCTATATTTTTTTGCAGAATGACGCCCATTTCCTCAGTGCAATCCATGAGGCCTACATACAGAGCCTCTCTAAAGGCCTCAACAATATCAAGTTATAGCCACAAACTGGGCGGGGAAAAAAAAAAACTACATCCACGTATGTTGACACTACTGGACGACACACTGATCAACACACCCGCCGGCTCTTACGCTGATGTCACACTCCCAGTGCTCTCTCGCTGAGCTTTCCCACTTCAATCCTAATTTATGTCCATCTGCCAATCTAATATTTTCAGTCATTTTCTCTCTATGACTCCCAGCACAATTATGTACAATTATGTTAAGGGACTTGTGCAATACGAAGCATTGCCTCTTCGGAGAATTGCTTTTCATTTATGATCCTGCCTTAGATGTATGGATATGATACGGTATCCCAGTCTCAGTAGTGTTTTACTGTTAAATCAGTATTGTGGTGTGCAGCATTGGGATTCTTTGAGATCCCAGCAAAGATGTATTTTGAGTAGAATGTGCACTTTTTCTCCTCTTTTCTTACAAACTTGGTTGTTTAATTTGGCCATAAAATGAATGAAGGTTAGTAGAGTTAAACATTTTTTCTCGATACCACAGTTGAACTATTGTGTGCAGGCAGTAGACTCTGAGCATCAGCGTACAGTTATGGTGCCATGTATTGCTTTTTAAAACTGCAGACAGATGAAAGAAATATGAAAGTTTATTTCAAGTGAGATGCATCAAATCAACCTTTGCATATCAGCTAGTTTAAGACATCATTCTGATGATGGCTGTTCTCTGTATCAACAGCAGAAGACGTGTAGTCTGTAGACAACAAGATTATATAATTTAAGCCACAGTAGGTGCATTTAATTTCATCATTAAAAGTAGAATGATTTTTTTTTTCTGCTTGTACTACTAACTAGTTCATGGTGTGTTTGTTTGACAGGAATTGTATTTTTTAAATTCACACAAGGTTTATGTACTTACTGCTTGTTTACACTTTAAAAAAAAAATCTGTCTTGAAAGGGAATTCCTTTACAGGTTTTTTTTTTTTTTTTTTGCTTGTTAGAAACAGTTTGCTTTTATCATGGAGAATTTTAAAACCTCACCAGAAATTAAAGCTGTCATTCAGCGCTGAGGCAGCTGCAAGGCTACATACTCATTTCACGCAAAAAGAACTTCTATCAAATGCATCAGGATGCTCTGTTACAATGGTTTGTGTCGAGTTCATGTGCAAATAAACTATAAATATAATTTGGATCGTTGTTTGCATTGTATTAAAGTGAAACTTCCACAAAGCAAATCTGCTTATACATTTTACTGCTCTAATAAGCATGTTTAATAGGTTTAAATCCATTTTCCAGATTCTGTCATTTATGGGTTGCTGTGATTTATTTAAATACTAATGTTGAGAGCTGTGTTAATGCTACAATAGTTTCAGTGCTGTCATTTTGAGGGCTTATGGTATTCACCCCTCGAATATAATGGGCCTCATTTATCAATCTAACGTAGAAACTAGCGCAGATTCGTGCACACAAAATCTTATGACAGAGTTCACGTGTGATTCATGAAACATTCGAATGCCGAAAACAATCGACATTTGAATATCACGCCCCTAAAAACACCCCGGTTTAGAAGCCTCGCCCCTAGAGTTTACGACACGGAGAAACGTGATCTTTTTGATCTTTTAAATCAAATAGAAATATCTTACTCCAAAAACACCCATTAACCTTGTAATTGCAAACAATTTGTTTACATTATTTTTTATATTTTTATATGTATATTAAAATACTGGTAAATATTAACAGCCTATTTAGTTCCCCTCACTCTACAACACATATTTTAAATTTAAGAATGAAAAATAAGTAGTTATAAAATTATATATTAAACAACATAAAACACAAATTAGGCTATAGTGGCATTCATTATAAACAGCATACAAATGTCAAGCAAAACTGAAATGGCATTGGGCTCTGTGCCTGTCTCATACCACAAGAATCCAAATGTTTCCATTTTTGCCATATTTGTAACATTTGTTTGCATAACGTCTGGGTTACATACAGGTGCATCTCAATAAATTAGAATGTCGTGGAAAAGTTCATTTATTTCAGTAATTCAACTCAAATTGTGAAACTCGTGTATTAAGTAAATTCAATGCACACAGACTGAAGTAGTTTAAGTCTTTGGTTCTTTTAATTGTGATGATTTTGGCTCACATTTAACAAAAACCCACCAATTCACTATCTCAACAAATTAGAATATGGTGACATGCCAATCAGCTAATCAACTCAAAACACCTGCAAAGGTTTCCTGAGCCTTCAAAATGGTCTCTCAGTTTGGTTCACTAGGCTACACAATCATGGGGAAGACTGCTGATCTGACAGTTGTCCAGAAGACAATCATTGACACCCTTCACAAGGAGGGTAAGCCACAAACATTAATTGCCAAAGAAGCTGGCTGTTCACAGAGTGCTGTATCCAAGCATGTTAACAGAAAGTTGAGTGGAAGGAAAAAGTGTGGAAGAAAAAGATGCACAACCAACCGAGAGAACCACAGCCTTATGAGGATTGTCAAGCAAAATCGATTCAAGAATTTGAGTGAACTTCACAAGGAATGGACTGAGGCTGGGGTCAAGGCATCAAGAGCCACCACACTCCTGCGCCCCTTTTTGGAGTAGGCTGGGGCTCACAACAAGAAGACCAGTCACTGTTGTCATAGCACTACCCACTCAGTGAGATTTGATAACACTGGGAAAACGTGCCCGTTCCACTTGGAACAGGAACGTTGTGGAAGCCCCATCCATCCCAAAGGAGGTTTTCAGAAGCACTTACACATATGAACAACCGTTTAGGTGCATATGGAAGAATAGAGGTGATTATAACCCTCTAGGAAATGGCAGAAGTCTGCTGGGGAAACACGGGCTCTGAGGCAATACCGTGGACTTTACACATATGGGATCCACTTAGGTCTCTACATATGGAACCCAGCCCTCTACCGGTTC